ATCCAGTCAAGAATCTCTCTGGTCCACTAAGGACTATCGCCAAATTTTGAGCGGAAATATGATATTATTCTACCAGCATTCCTTATCTCCTTCCATAATAGTGCAAAATCACGTGTCTAGAAACCTCGTCTCACCCAATATAAGCATCCCAACTAATAACTCACACTAAATCCACATGGAACCTCACATAACGCGGTCCAAACACCAGACAAGTAATAACTCAAATATATCTAAAAATAAAAAGAAAACAAAGTACGAGGACTACACAACAAGTACAGCTGATATAACAACAAAAGCATAAATAATGAACTCAACCCACAAAGGGAAAACAAAACACATGAAATAAACACAAAGAAGGGTATCCCACATAACTCCGTTGTGACGCGCAACACGATACAAAGCATATCAATCCACATAGGGATACTCATCGAGCCATGGTGCTCGTGCTACCTAAACTCATGTGCATCAACATCAAACACAATAGATTGGACCAATATAACTTTGGAAAGGTGGATAGGCATAACACAGTATCGAAAGGAGGCTAGCACAACTAGGGTGCAATAAGAAAATCAACATCACGAGGTCCATCTCGCCCATATTGCCATAAGGCCTAAATGAGATTAAAACATGCGTGAATAGCATGCAACCTCACAACCAGTCACATCATAAGAGAGAAACACATAACATAGACCAGGGCACAAATAACATCCATCTTGCCCGATGACGTACCCACGGAAGCAATTGAGTAAGGATAAGCAAACCCGATCTGATATAGAATGCACATTCTCATAAGGCTTACAAATAGCCCCCACACCCTTCCTGATCGTTACCATACAGGTATATATATCCTTTAAAAGTCTAGATCAACCTAACTATAACACATACCATCCGTTAACCAATTCTTTACATATCTTCACATCATGTGACCAAGGAATGGTCTGCCCTCGAGAATATCCCATCTCTAAACCTCGAGAATAACAAAATCTCCGTACCCGATCCCAACTCCACTACTAAAATTTCTAACACCTCACTTGTATACAATCATCTCACAGAAGATACCCACATAAATCTTTTGTGCCCAAACCTAGGCGATCACCACAACGCTACTCAAGCATCCGCAAGTCAAAACACAATGTGCCTTCTGAAATGCACACCCTTCCCAAGCGATACCCAATAGAGATTGTATTCTCTTAAACACCTGAAATCGACTGTGCTATCTACAAATCATGACCTTTCTTCCAAGATAAACCACGACCTTGAACTCGCAACTTTCAACTCCACACAGCACACCGCAATCATCATGCTAACTAGCGAAAATACAAAAATCTCATCATCAACTATGGACCACAAGCAAGCCGAACACCTCATCAACTAAGAACCTTCCATTTAGCTCAATCTAGGAGTACATCACCACACACCACACACCTCTTATACATGTAGATGACACCAAACTCGATTCGCGATCATAGCCATAGTGAATTCTTCGGAACTCATTATCACATAATATAGTCATCAGAACTGATCGTTATTCAGTCGAGTCAAGTCTCTAACTTAACCGAGTCACGCAAACTACCAAAACCAAAAGTAACTCAACCCGATATGCTCGCTCTGAAGGAACCTTCTGCAAATCCAAAGTTGTTTCTTGCATCTCTAATACATCTGTTTCTCCCAAATGCACACGCAAGTTTATGTGGTCGTACAAGTAATATAGAATTGTAAGTCTAGATATCGTACCCACAGGGAATTTTGTTTAACTACTACTAATTTCACTCAAATTGTTATTTAGTCGAGTCAATCAGAGTTGAATAGTGTGATTATAACTGAGCTATAAATGTAACAAGTAACTAATTAATCAAGCAGAAAATGGTTGTTGAGAATTCAGTAGAGATGAACATTCCAGGGTTGTGATCGATTTACAAATCCTATTGTGTTCTAATTAACTCTCCCCTTCATAAAATTCGCTCATGGTTTTTAATTAATTGAGTAATTGCTCTCGTAATATTTTCCCAAATTACTACTCGCCTATTCAAAATAGATTAACGCCTATATTACTATGCAATCAATTAATAAAGAACGCATTAAGATTACGATATTCAATTGAGCATGGTGACTAGGTATATTCCTATCCTAACACAAATCTGCCCCCCACTCAGAGTTAAGATCATGCCCTCTTCAATTCTTCTCTAATCTAGACGTAGCTTTCCCAATCATAGCATAGATAATAAATAGAACCTAACAATTGGCCAGAAAATTAAGCAATTAATCACAAAATTGAAGAAACAATCATATATTAGTGAACTATAATCAAGGTAAAGTCAACTTCGAACAACAGTATTCATGGCTAAATCACAACCCCAAAACTTATGGGTTTTAGCCACTCATGATAAAGCTAAATAATTTCACAAGTGTTTGAATAGTTGAAAATACTAAAAAGATGAAGAAAAACTGAGAATCCTAGCTCCCGAGTGTTCCGTGTGTGTGTTTTCCTCTCAAAGTGGCGTCTCTCCCACTAAAATAGGTTTTGACTATTTTTATATGAGTTAGGGGTGTGTAGGGCCGTCAAAACTTTGACCCGAGCGAAATAGGAGAGTACCCTATCACCCAGCATCCAAGGTAGTGCGTCGCACTAGTCCTGGCGCTGGCCTGTTGGCCAAAAATTTCAGGTTTGTAATTTGTGCCAGAGGTAGCACGATGCACTACCCTGGACGCTAGAATTCGGCACTTGGCTATTTTTCATCCTTTTTAGCTCCAACTCATGCTCATTCAATCCTTTTCACTCCAAATTGCTTTTTACACATATAAAAAATTAGCTCAACTCACTAATATAACATATTAGATCCAGCAAGTATAGAGCAAAATGTGAGGCGATTCATATACAAAAATACATGCTTTTGGCCGAACATCAACTGCCATGTAGAATCGTTCTAGATATAGAAGTACCACAAAACCAGACACCATCTGCTATTGATCTCGAGCTCTAACCATACACAAAGCTGAAAACCCTCAAGTACCACATATAAATCTTGAATTCGTCAGAATCTTTTCGATAGTCACCCATCTTGCTCTAAATAATCCTCGATGAAACCCTTCTCAAATCACAGCCAATCCGCGAGTACACCTTAGCCCAAGAACTAACATAACGTATGACCACGCAATCAGATCGTCGATAGCAGGCTCCCTCACTTAACTCAAAGCCATAGAACACATTGTCTATAATCTATAGCACCATTCCTTCGTAGTTGCCTAAGTCTCGCACTGTTAATCAGCTCAATACTTCATACACTTATGTAACACTAGTCATAAAATACTCCGAAGACTTTGTCGAGCGCATACTACTCCTTGTGAAGGTCACGCCGATTTGCTCAATGTTCCAAAATGACTGTATATGCATTCCACTAAATAGAGACCTCATACGAAATGTGCGACCTAAAATCTTCAAGTAGATCTCCCACATGCTGGACTCAAATCAACACCTTCCCATGACCCCTCCATGGTCACAACAATTAGGCGACTGATTAATCCACTTGAGTCCACTCGCCGTCAAAATATAAGAATTTGCTTCATCCCACAAATGAATAACTGGAAGATCTACCTACACATCTGCATGAAGGACTGCACAACACATCGCGACAGTAATCAAGCATCCACAACCTTTCGCAGACCATCCGCAACATCGCAGGCCGTCGGTGCAGTTAAGTATTTTCAGTTCTGGTTTTATGTTAAATGCTCGTTTTCTCTATTTTTGCTATTATTGTTTTTATATACGTTCAGATTTTTAGTGAGTGCCTTGTTATAGCCTCGTCACTACTTCGTCGAGCTTAGGCTCAGTACTTACAGAATACATGGGGTCGGTTGTACTCATGCTACACTTATGCACTTCTTGTGCAGATTCTGGTGTTGGTCCCAACAACAACTAGTGGAGGCTCGCTCGGATTAGCTTTCTTCACGGAGACTTGAGATATAGCTGCACGACGATCACAGCTCTGAAGTCCCCTTCCTTATCTAGTTCTACTGTTTATTTTATTTCAAACAGTTGTATTTTCATTCAGACATCTGGTTGTAGCGCTTTTAGTATGCTCGTGTACTTGTAACACCAGATTCCGGAATTTGATTAGTTAGATGTTAGATGTCATCACGACCCCGTGGTGGGGAATTTCGGGTCGTGACACCACCATGGCTTTAATATGTCCCTCATGAATCAAATATTAAAATGGCTACAATCTCAGTGGCAAAAGCAGGATTTTTCACGAAGGGTATTCAAAAAATAAAAAATGTAAACACGCGAAGAAGCTAAAGGGATTCAACATCTAATACATATATAGAAAAGTTAAACTTTATATATAGTGTAATCTTCGACGAAGAGAGTTTGGCTAAACTCTTTCCGCCCACCTAGCTCTGTCCCGGACTACACCAATGAGAACATAAAAGACTGCTCACACTATGTTAGGCTAGTTTTTTTCTCTCTCTTTCTCTGGGGTACAATTTTTAGCTCGTGCTGCGAAGTGAATAAAAAAAAAAAAAAGCAAGTATTCATCCAACACGCCCAATTACAATGTGTTGAATAATTGATTTCTTTTAAAACGGGGTCATTTATGGAAAAAATTGGAAAATAAAAATTAAAGTAAGAGGAAAATACATAAGAAAAAAATTGTTGAAGACCTCTTATTGGTAACTAACTCTCTCAAGTCTGCAGTGGTCCAACCATGTACGCAACTCTCAAAGTATCCTTCATTGAGTTAAGTAACTTTGATTATGCCAGGCATAAGATTATAAGTAATTAAGAATGTTCAGTTTAGGATATGAACCCTAAACTCTTACAAGCTCTTTGAATATGTTCAACATCACAGCAATAGCAAATTATAATTAGTAGAGTTCATATATTCGTTGTTTCGGCCCCACCTCAGTGGCCCATGGCTGTCCTTTTTTCCTCACACATTGGACCACAATTTGAATAAATGTACAACTCCAGAAAGAAATATACAAATATGGATAGAGAGAAATAGACAGATGAGAATGTAATTAAACTCTATCTTACAGAAAATTCAAATCCATTAGATTGATGAAAGTAAGTTAATGCATGGAAGTCAATACCCGAACCATACAATTTTCTTGCCGAACAGAGTACAATCAAGAAATCTTCTTGAAAGGGATGTGATTTGTGAGAGAAAGAAAAGTATGGTGCGTTCTTGACTCCCTCTTTTAAGCAGAATGGAGGTTCAAGAAAACCAAGAATTGGGAAGAAAAAAAATTCTGGTGTCCGAATCAGCTTATGCTCAGTAACTAGTGGAATAATGGTAGTGCGCCCAAGTTGGCTCGAACACAGCCATTGAAAAAGAAAGAAAAAAAATAAAATATGGAAGAGTATGAGCTGTCAAACTGTAATAAAGCTTTTGGCAGGAGCAGTAAGCAGCAGCATATGGATGTATTAAGCATTGTGTCAGCTCCAGGCTATTGATGAAGGAGCATAGCATTGATAATTCTCAACTAACTCCAAATAGATCTCTTCATTGAATTCATGAGCTAACTTCTCATCTGTACTATGTAATTAAAATATGGCAGTGAAGGGGGAGAAAACAAAATGCAGCAGCAGAAGCAGCTGAATTAAATTCAAAATGGATCAGGAAGTGGAGCAATTCAAGGCAGCTTTAATTTGGTGGATAGTGTTGCCTATAAGGTTATTAACTGTGTTTACTGACTCTGGGCTCATTTTGGCTGATGATGACAAACTGCTCACCAAAATCTGGAACACAACTGTAACAAGTGACCCCTCTGACCTATTGTCTCCCATTGTACCATTATTTGTGCTGCTGCACGATGCCTCGTTGGACCTTTGGCCTTGTCGTCCGTCCGGCGAAATCGTAAAACCGGAAGGTAGCAATGGGATGTAAGTGGTATCTTCACCACTCATTGCAACATTGATTGATGGTAAATCCACAGGGCTGTAGATTACTAGTGAACCTGATGAGTCTATGCAACTTTCTTGAAGTATCAACATGTTATTCTGGCTAGTATTATAGGCCTGCATTGTAATTTAAATGAGTAATTTAAAGAGGAAAAAAAAGGAGGAAACCAAATCATTTCATTGTTTGTTATATATATAGGGTGGATTTTGCAAATTACCCTGAGCACAGAAATACAGTTCCCTGGGTGAGAGCCATTTGCAATGTGAGCTACCTCTTGTACTGGATTTTGGTTGGAAAGAACATCCCACTGTGTCAAGGAAAAAGAATACCAAACTGATGAATTCTCAAAAGAACGAATATGTTTGGATTAGTGCAATGCAAAATGTACTTATGCAGGTGTAGTTATTATTGCACCAAGAAATCAAGATAGATGTAGTTAAGTTAGTAAATCAATTTTTTATACTAATTTAAACTTCTAATTAATAACACAACATGGTGCAGAGTTCTAGTCGCAAGGAAGTCATCCCATTTTTTACTTTTTCCTTCTAAACAATCTACAATGTACTACTAAAAAAAAATGAATAATGGTTTCTGTTCAACTTCTAGGAGCTTAGTAAATATATCCACACCTGAGGTCGCGTCCTTTCATCCCTGAGGAAATTGAAGACATGTTGTGAAGGAAGCGGGAGCCAAATGGTGGAAGCTGCACTGATGATTACGCCATTGGGCTGGCCGGGGTCAGTGCTCTTCTGAAGGGTGGCTCTGACTTCAAATTCATCCAATCCAGAAATGTTGTTCCATTGGTGTCCGTTGGATGGGTTGATGCTGGCACAGAAATTGCTCACCATTCTTTGAGCCAATTTCATCATGCTCTTTTTCCCTTCTGGTGATGGAATCACTGCAACCATTACATCAAGCTTTTTCATGTCAAGCAATTGATTTTTTCTTAGTACATTTGATAAGAAATTTTATCTCTGTGAGCTTCACAAAACATAGGTTGACGGATAGAGTAAACTAGTCTAAGGTGGATGAATTCTAGAGTTAGTCAGGGGTTTAAGACTGAATAGAGTTAAACTGATACAAAGACTCATATATCCGACTTCAACTAATTTAAGTATTAGTTGTGGTTTCTTGAACTCGTACATTAAAATAATCCACATAAAAGCACATGTTCCATTCATAATACCTCCTCCAAGTTCACGGGAAGACTTGCCGCTAACCATTAGACAAGCATATCTCTCACACAATCTTTGAAGAGAACCAAGCCATCTCTCTGCTCCAAATGCCATGCCACTATGTATAAGATCGCTATATAGCTTATGAAGTAAACCTTTCTCTTCCACTTCTACGTGTACCACCCATGTAACCTATTCCACAGTAGAATTAACCAATTAGATGTTGTACTAGAATGGAAAGATAGAACTCAATCACAAAAATTATGATAGTAGAGAGTAGAGACAACCTTGGAATAACCATTGGGCATGTCTTGTATCAAGCATCCAGATGGGAGCCTATGAACCTTACATGAAGAGGAAGGATACTGATTTTCTTGAATAATATCATAGGAAACATCAACAATTGCCCATGAACCTTGATCAATCTGCTGGCAAAACCTAAGGAAAAACGATTGTCGCGTCGGGACCAAAGGTGAAAGCACTTGCATTTCTTCATACATCTGCATGTAGCCAGATTGAGTGTTTCAGCCTCTTGAACAAAAAAATATGAATATGAACATGATTTCAAGTGAAAAACACGTATATCTTCTTTACCAATTGTAATGTACTACTTTGGCCGCCCATTACACCACATGATATTACTTCAATTGTTCTTGCCTTTGAAACAATCGTTGGAAAGAATTCCACCCACTTGTTCTACAAAATTACAACAACAAAAGAAGGAAAACAACGATAAATATGAGATTGGTTTAACTTCTATATACTAACAGTATAAATTCAAAATCCAAAAAAGGAGAACTAGAGAGAGAGAAGATAAACTAACCGCATCCATAAACATGTTGACTAATGCTAAACCATTCATGATCACAACACCTGAATCCCTGGAAGCCTCAACGCGAACATTTGAATTTTTCAACGAACTGTTAGCCCTCGGAAAGATTTGGTTATAACTATCAAGGTCAAGTACATCTCTGCCATCAGTTGTGGACTTTGTCCACAATGGTTCATTGGTTTGCAACAATCTAATCAATTCCTCCATGGCATTGCCAGCAATATCAGCCATAAGGGACTTATCCATGTCTGAAATGTTCAATGTAGGAAATGGTAAACTTGGAATAGTACTACTCGTTGAACTTCCTGGGAGAAGATCGAGATCAAGGGACGGGCCAGTTAGACCAATGCCTCCAAAACTAGACATGGACATTAAGTTTAGCGACGACAGATGAATAGGCTGTACTGGTGGCAGTTGTGAAATAGGCCTCCCTATATACTTAGCAGCAATGCTAGAAATTTTGTCAAGCTGCATATGCCAAGAAAAGGAAATAAGATAAAGAAAAAGGGCAATAAGCAAATATGGACAAGAAATTAGTTACATAAAGAGAGTGACTATGGACCTCTTCTTTTAGTTGCATATTTTCCATTCTCAATTTTTGTTCATCAAAATAAGAATCTTCAGTAACTGGAGGGCCTCCACAAGATGGACATATCACATTCTTGATGGCTTCCCTTATTGCTATGTTTTCACATCGAATTCTATCGTTTTCTGCTCGAAGCGCACAATTATCTGCTCGCTCATGTTGACTCTAAAATTCAAAAACAAATTTAACACACACAAAGAAGGCTGTCTTTGTTAATATAGTGGAGTACTACTTTCAAACAATTACTAAATCAGATAAAAAGATGTTTCACCTTCAATTGAGTCCTTCTATTTTGGAACCAAAACTTTATCTGACGAGGAGCCAAACCCAAATCCCTGCTTAACTGCAATCTGCTCTTCTCGTCTGGATGAGGACATTCTTTGAACACGCTAGAAAGTACAAACACCAAACTTTATTAAGTACTAAAGGGAATTAAAGCACAACCATATCATGGCTATATATATTTTTCCTATAGATTTTAACTTAATTCTATAGAATGACAAAATATAATGTCACTAAAAGTGGAACTAGCTAACTAGTTACTAGCTGCACCTAGTTAAAATACTATTAGAGTTTCACACTTAAGTGTATACAAGTCAAATCATTTTTCCAATAATATTCAAAAGGAGAAGTGAGAAATGCAAAATGAATGGTTTTGTGGTTCTGAAATTGCAGTATCTTACGCTTCAAGCCTTTGAATTTGGTGCGCTGTGTGCCGATGGAAACGTTTCTTTTTCCGGTGAGTTTCAGAGGCATCGCCGCCGCCGCCGCTGCTGGAGGTAACGCCGCCGTATTCCATTGATGATCTTTACTGGGAGAAATCAATAAAACCTTGGATAAAATAATAACTCGGTCGTGTAGTAGTAGTAGTAGTCGTTGTTATATTGTACTTGAAATGAAATTCAGTACTTATTCCCGTCATATAAATGGTTTTTAGTAATCACACGAGTAAGTACTTGTAATAAGAAGCGATATTAATAATAATATTACTAAGAACTAAGTAGAAAATGATGCGGTGGAAGTGGTAAGAGTTACTAGTATGTATAGGAAGAAGAATATGATCTATTAAGAAAACCAAGAAGAATGGATAATGATGAAGATATTTTATAAATAAAGGAATTAAAGAGTGGAATACGAAAAGGAAATATCAAAGATGGTATATGTAGCATAGTAAGAGGCAAGACTTATGGTTCAGTTGATGCGTTGTAGCTAAGAAAACGGGAGAATGTTGGAATAAGTAACGGACGGAAAATGAGAGATACATATATAGTACAATGTAATGAGCAAGATTTCAGAGAGAGGATTTGGTGGAGAAAATTAAAAAAAAAAAAAAACGGATGGAGAGAAAATAAATCTCTGAGAGAGATGGAGGGGAAGGTGGGAAGTAATTAAGACGGGGATTGGAAAATGTGGGAGAGAGGGAAGGAAGAATAAATATAGCAAGAGAGAGGGAAGTCAAATGCATAAATACTAACGGGAGTACCGTAATAAAAATACAGCACCAACACTATTTTTTTTTTAATTTATTTTTTTTATTTTACTTTCCCTTCAATAGGGGTACAAAGAAAATGATAAATCGCACTAAATCGATAATCCGAGTCTAATCGAAAAAAAAAAAATCTGATATGGTTTGGTATTGGAAAAAAAAAAAAAGCAGACCATAATTGGTTTGATTTGATTTTATCTAAAAAAAAGTCAAACTGAAATTAAACCAATCGGACATTACATTTGTACAATTTTAAAAAATATTTTATACATGTAAATATTTATTGTAATGTAATTTATAAATATTTCTTAAATTTTTCACAGTTTTTATCTTTTAGTGTATTGTTTTAAACTTGGACTTAACATTCTTGAATGGTCCAATAAGTCTTATAGTCCATAAAAATAGGGAATTTTTACATTCCTATCCCACTTATGAAACCTTTTTACCCTACATGTTTAAGGCTTCACTTAATTACATTTAGCATACCAAATTATCATTTATATACCATATCTAATTAAGGTTATAATTAATGTGATATTTTATACTCCTTAAATTAAGCACTTCCGTTATTTGACAGTACTAAGTACTAATCCTCACTTTCTCTCTCCTAACCCTTCATCCCCATACCCCTCCACGTTCTTTGTTTTAGGGAAGAAGTTGAGTTGAATCTTAGAGATGACAAACTGAGGAGAGAATGAAACGGGATTGAAGAAAGTCAAAGACTCAGATTTCGTTGATCTATTTTCTTCTTCTTTTCTGTTTTGCACTTTCATTTGGCTTATTTTGTTATTGATTTTTAATTACTTTCTCATGTTGATCGAAATCAGTTTTTTTTTTTAACTATTTTTATTAAAAATACTTTAGGTGAAAAATAATTAATTTTTAATTAATTAATTTGAAAAGCATTTTGACCATCAATTAGTATTTGGGCAGGCTTTTAAAAATTATTTCTAATTATTTTTCGGAAAGCTATTTTTTCTGTTCCAAAATTGCTTCTGCTTCTCCTCAAAAATATTTTTTTTTCTTCTAAAACCTTGGCCAAACACTTCAACTTTGAAAAAAATATAATCACCCAAAAAACTAGGTAAATATTTGTAGTTTTTTGTAGAAATTTTGTAGATGAAGAGAAATTGTAGAAATGTGACATCCACAATTAATCTACAAATTGTCTGCAAAATTTTACAAAAACTACAAATTAACTACATTTAACCTACATTATAACTACAATCTGGAAACAATTTACACATGAAAGTTCTTCAAGTTGGAATTGGCCACAACTACATTTCTTGTTTTCTAGACACACAATGTACCGCTTTACACCATCCAACACAGTATGTATATGATCTGTTAAAGCCCTCACCTACATTTTCAGAATAAACACAAAGAAAAAAAATTTACAATATTAAAAATATAGTATCTACAATATATCTACATTTTATCTACAATTTATCTACAAATTAACTACAAACTATAAGTAAACTACAATTTGCATATAATTTATCTACAATCTGGAGACACTGAATATTAAAATATTTTTTTCCTGCACCAAATAAAGAAATTATAGTCAAATTGTAGATATATGTAGTAAATTTGTAGATAATATCATAAAACTAAGAAGAACAATTGCTGTTATTTTTTTCTTCTCATTTTTGTTTTTTTCTCCCTTCTTTAAGTTATTGTCAATGATCTGCCTTTGAACTCTCCACTTTATGTCCATTTAATTGGTAAATCTTAGAAGCTGTTAGTAGTTGAATATTTTCGTAGTTTTTGTAGCTGTTAGTAGTTCAATATCTGTTCGTTCTTTTTTTTCAGAATTTGAATTATAGTTCTGGAGAAAAAATCGCATATATGAAATCTCCTTTCCCTTTTTAAAGATTGAATTTAATGTAGAATCAATTATCACCAAGAATCTCGCCTTAATTTTAGCGTGTTTTTAAGGAATATTCTGATCCATTAATGCCTGATTTTCGAATGGTACAAATTTTGTAGGTAAAATGTGGACTGGGCGGGTAATATACAAAATATGCACATTTTTGATAATAAACTTTCATATATGGTATAGGAAGGAAAAAATCCCTAAAAATAGTAACTTAAATAACGTTCAAATCAATACTAATGCTAACAAAATAAATTCAATTCAACGCTGGAAATGATAATAGTGTTTGATATCTATTTTTAGTTTAGCATTAGTTTATAATAAAAATGCATAACTTAGTTTATATTTTCTTTAGTGCTTAGTTATGTAATTAATAGTAATTATTAGATGTATTTATTTTAGCATGACTAATATATTACTTTTAGATTATGTTTATTTTTATTATGGCTTATTAATTAGCAATATTTATTTTATACGATTTGTTATTTTTGAATGTTTAGTACAATGCTATGACTCATCTCATATTATTGTATTATTTTTTTGAAAATATATATTATATAGTTGTATCCTACTAGGACTAAAGAAATATTCGGAGCATAAATATTTTGTGCTATGAAGACTTTACCGGAAAAAACTCAAAAATTCGAAAAAAATCGTAAAACCCAAGAAAATCCAAGATTGAAAAACCATACTTTGTTGGTTTAATTTGGTTTATAGATTTAAAAATACGAAACCATTGGTTTGGTTTGGTAATTAAAAATCCGAACCAACCTGACCTATGTATACCCCTATTCTTCAGGAATCGTTTAATTATCAAACAAGTTATACCAGAATTATAACATCATGATAATAATACAAGATTTAAAAAAATGATAGAACTATATAGTGAGTAGATTTTTTTAAGTATTTAGTTCGGAATAAAATATAAACAACTCTCTCCATTCTCCTTTATTAGTCTTCATTAACTAAACATGCCACTCAAAAAATTATTTATTAAGGATCTATTTTACTAATTACCTTTGCTGATGGTTATTAAAGATGTAACTCCAACAATTTAGGGAATGTGGTACTTAATACAATGGTAATATATATTGGAAGAAACTAATAAATTTTTTTGATTTGCTAAAGTAGACAAGTAAAAAGAAAAATTTGTTTTTAGTATAACGAATAAGTAAAAGGAAACAAAGGGAGTAAGTGTATAATTTTACAATAAATAAACTTGAATAAAATATTATTTTAAATTTTAACCTAGTTCTTCTTAACCGTTTGTTGCTGTTGTAACCGACGGATTAATTCTGCGATCACAGAGCAAGCCTAGAATTGATTCGTAAGAATGGTTTCTGGCTAAGTACCAGGCTGACTTAGTCAATAAGCAAATTACAAGGCTGAGTCAATAAGCAAAATTGTCAAGGCTCTATCTGTGACTTCATTAAAATTTCAAGTACAAAAGTATTGTTTTACCAGAAACCAATTTGTAAGGGGTGGCGAGTGGCGACCGGCCCAAATTTGAACACTTCTCCCTTCCAAATTTTTTATTTAAAAACTTCATACATTTCTTAAATCTTCATTTTGTGGCTTCAGGAAAATAGTATAATCCTACTTTTCCCCCTTCAATAACCAATATAAGCAAAGTTTATTAAATATATACACATATTAAATTTAAAATTTAGTTATTAACACTTGAAATTGTCATTCTAAATTTCAGAATCCTTAAAATTGAAGTTCTGCGTTGTCTCTTAATATAAGTAATATTCCCATTCTGCAATTTTTTTTACTTAGTTATACGTGAGTATGCAGAGGCCAACTCATGAACGATAATTGATACTGCAAATTCGAACTTATGACATTACTTTAAGTATTCTTACTTTGATTCTCAAATCACATGCAAGTAAACTCGGTCATCAAGTTATAAGTAGAGTATCATTCCTATGAGTTTTTATTATCAATTATTAATTATATTAGACTATCATAATTATCTGAATAAAGAGAATACACAAAAGTATTTGATTCTAAACTAATTAAACTAAAAAGAAAATAACTAATAAACTCTAAACGGAGGAAGAACAAATTCTTATGTTATCAATGTGATGACATTCCTATCTAGGGTTATGAGCTATCCGACATTCCTATCGTATTTTTTAACTTATTCAACTTCTTAATTTATCTAGTTTATTGGCTAATCGGATCGTACATATGACTAGCATGCTCCCGCAGTACTACCTGCCTATTGAAGATATATCAATCATATATCCCTATGGTACTGAACTAACAAGAACAAATGAAACACAACATTCAACTGAGCAAGAATGTTGGTATATCCATATCCTAACCGCGAAATTATTTTTCGAGGCACGTGTTAAAAAACAAGCTCTACTCAATCCTATTTGCAATCTAGAAGTTTCTCTGCTGAGTTCTATTCTAGATTCATAGATAGCATTCAATTGGTGATCAAGTAATTAAATAATTAAGCACATGATTGAATAAATAAAGTAATATATATCAAGAAATCAAAATCAGTATTCAAATAACAATAGTCATGAAAGAACCAAAACCCTAGAACGTAAAGTTTAGCTCCATATAAATAAGGTAGTGATGTCGCCCAAACTCACAACACTAATTGGGTTTGTGAGACGGTCGATGCAGTTATAAATACCCAACGCAAGTCGGGGTCGATTCCACAGAGAGCTTATTGTGGGATTAGGTATATACCGAGTCTAGTGTATAACGTGCCCAAGATTGCACTTCCACACATTTGGTTGTTTCTTTCTACTTCTATTGATTAGGCTAATGCTTGTAATTGAAAAGCTAAGAGACAATATTTTTAGTGTTGTTGTTTTTCAAGGTTATAAAAGATCTAGGGTTGTGACTTCCACCTAGGTGGTTACCTAACGGATTGTAAACTCTAGGGCAAGTTTGCTTGGTCGGGG